TGGCCCTCAATTTTCAGATGATGAATGGAACACTCTAAATGTGCGATTTCTGTATGAGGTATAGTTCATTTTAAGCAATTCTAGTAAATGGGTGTCACTGATTAGGACAAATAGTCTACTTGTGCAATAGCACAAATGGTATGTCTCATTCTTCTGGCCTCCTTTGAGACAGAAAAGAAAGGGGACAACAATGACCCTGATAAACCTGGAATTGCTACTGTTTAAAAAAGAGCTATTATATAATATACATTATCCAACATGCTATTGACTTGATGCTACTAAATCATTTCTGTATGTTTAGCACTGCCCTATTAATTAAAAATGTATGTCATGCTGAAAAACCTTCTTTATAAGAAAAGACAGTGAACTGGAATCTCTTTCCCTTTGACATTACTGTTTGGAGAAAAACACGTTTCACTCTAGCGCAATAAAGGAGTTTAACAACTTAACAGAGATACTTTCTGGTTTTAACTCTTTATTGCTAACTCTGACTGACTTAGAAAGACCCATCTGGAAGAAAGGGCAAGAATATTTGTTCTATCTTGGGTTTTTTTTCAGCTTGCTAACAACTGATACTGACACAAGGTCTGATCAATAAATAACCAATACTGTAGTAACAGTGACTGCAAGTTGCTTCAGGACAACAGTACTTAAAAAAGAAAAAAAAAAAAAAAAAAAAAAAAAATATATATGAATTAGAAATGCTGAGGATTTAATTAAAATTAATGTAACTGTACTTTTTTTTTTTTTTTTAAAGGCTTTCCAATAAAGTCCTGTATCCATCATATATATTTTAGCATTTGTTTTGCAAAGTCACCAGATTTCATACTCAGGAACAATAATTGAATATGTGCAAGAAATAATCAGGTGATTTAAATTTAACTAAGGCATTCGCATGTAGTTTAGCATAGTAAAAATAGTATGATTTGTGGGAGGCAATTAACAATCATTTGCTCTGTGGATACAAGTAATTTGTTTAAAGAGCACTGACCTATGAGACAGCTAGTTTGTGTTGGCTGTGATGGAAGGGAGCTATTGACTCTAAACAGTGTAACAGCGCCATTGACAGAATCACATTTGAATGCACACAAAAGATCTCGAAAATACTTGAGGAACACGAGATCTTTCAGAGGGGGAAGCGGAGTGGGGGTTAACTGAGGGAACCCAGCCAAAGAGGAGGTCTCCGTACCAAGGCAAAACCGAGCCAAAGCGAAAAATCTGGACAATGTAGTGACTAAAGAGGGCTTCCCCCCCTTGGTGCCGTGCCAGCCTCAGAGCCCGGCCGTACTCCTTCAACAGAAATACTCTATCAGAAGGAACACAAACTGTGAGCGATTACTGGTTGAGTAATGGTTTCATAAGCTTAAAATTGAATGCAAGTCTTTGTGCAAAATAATCATTTTTATGTTCGCATCCAGCGAACGCATTGCAGACCTGGGAATGGTTCCATGTATTCAACATTCACGCTCTCTCTACGCCTGCTTTGGACATGTTTGCAATCGAATGCCAATACCTTGCGCAGCAACCGGGTACAGTCTACTGCAAACGACCGCTCGTCTCCTGGCAGTTTGGGTCATTTCTTTAACTGAGCAGAAGAAGTTATCAAAACAAGGGTGCGCGACACAAACGGGAGGGTGACAGCAGCCAGCGTTAAAAAGTTCCGAGTGCCAAACGGCATTCTTTGAAACTATTTTAATATACACCGGGTCGGACTCTACTTCCTTTATTTGCTAGGAAATCGTTATGCAAAATACGGACTTAGAGAAAAACAGTAACGCGCTGGCACAAATACATTGTAAATAGAGTGCTGCCGCTCATCTTAAAGTAAACCAACAGAATCTACCGAGCTTAAAATACATGTCTAAAGGTGCCGTTTTATCTGTAACATAATTTCATTTAGAAGCATACAAATCACAATTTGCCATAATCAAATAACACTGCAGTGCTTATATTCTAATTAAAAAAATAATCTCTGATATTTAATTGAGAAACCTGGAAGACTTTACCGGCAAAATTATGGCGACAACCTGCACAAACCCCGCGATTTACCCCAGGCAGATAGTGGATTTTTCGGGTGGCACTTTAAAAATTATTGTTAAACAAGCCAACGATGCTCTGTTCGATATATATTAAAACAAGTATTGTACCCAGTTATTAATTTGCACTATTCACTTTTAAATGCGGCAAATACCTCATTAATTTAATTTTAGGTGCCCACCAGTTTATATTGCATTTTACAGTCTAAAAGGCAATTTACTATTAACTGGCAATTACATACAGAATGATTGTTAATTCTGCTCCTAAGTGCTAGCTGCTTGAAAATTGTTATCTCTCTCTAATTTTTGACCTTCTTACAACAGGGGTGAGGTATACTGGGAATACAAAGGACTAGTAGAGAAGAGCTGGACATGTCATTTGTGACTCATTCTTTTAATTCACCGTGCTAATCAACTGAACTGCCACAATCTCCCAAGGTAATTGTATCTTTATAATAGTTGAAAGCAGCGGGCAAAAAGGCATGGATAGATGGGGAAAGGCCTTGCCTTTGCCTGCTGAGAGACGGCGCGCTCTTGCTTCTGCGTGAGACTAATGGGGCTTTTTAGAAAAATCTGGAACTTTCATATCTCTGTACCCTGATCATTTAATGTCTCAACTTCTCTGCTCACAAAGGCTTTGTACACCACACTACACTCTTGTTTCATTATTCTGCAGCCTTGTTGCCCTATGGTCTACCTCATGCTGGGAAGGTTAAATGTTAGAGTGCCAAGCCAGACTGCAAGCATGGTGGGACACTGATGGGAAACAGATGCCCTGGGGATTCAGCCCCTCCCTCCTCTAGGGCTACATCATTTTCATTTTCTGAAATACAGTGAGGCTTGGCTTCGCTCTCAACGGCAGCTGTAATTTCCAAAGACTGTCTCAGCCACCCTATCACTTCAGGATAAAGCAAAGCAGGCAGAAGTTTCTCCGTCAGGCAGACGCTGGCTTTATCTTTTTCCTTTTCATTCCTTATTGCCAGGATATAGGCTTTTGTTTCCCTCAAAATGTGTTTTAGCTATATATTCCCACTAAAGTGTTGTTAGCAGTGTAACTTTATTACAATTTAGTTCCAGTGGGAGAAGCTCCTGACATTCTCACGATTCTTTTGAACATCTTTACTTAGCGATAAAGACAAAAGATGACCCCAGGAAAGAAGAAACGAACGTTTTTTCCTTACAGTTTTCATACATATTTGCATTTACGCATTAGAAAGAAGTTCAAAACGGCAAAATATGCCAAATTTGCAGAATCTGCACCTAAGAAATCAGTTGAAGACATTACTATAAAGCAATTCGGAATTCCAGGCCTCTGCACTGAGAGCCAGAGCGTCATCTGGTTCAAATCTGCGGCGCTTCTCTGTGTGCAATGGAACTGCACCAGCTTGCAACAGCGAAAATATCTGGAACATAGTCTAAGGCTCTTAATTCATTCATTTTTATTTTTTATTTTGCTGAACACTTATCTTAGCTAAATAGTCACACTTGTCATGGCACTCTGCTGAAGCTTTACATGGCCTATGTTCATAACCACGTTTTTCAGCCCGAAACCGTGACCCCACCTGCAGTGACCACCTCTGCACCGGAACTACGAAACCACGTCGACCCTTCCAGACATTTGTTAGCACCAAAAGCGCCACGGTCGCTACCATCCCGTGTGGTAGCTCTGGTGAAAACCCAGTCAGAAAGATCAAGAAAATGTAAAAATTCTCTCCCTCGTCAGCCAGAAGGGAGGCACCCAGGTGTGCATGCGAGCACCGCTTTTGCTCAGGTTGTGATTTCTTTGGGGAGAGATGGAAGATGGGAATCTCAGATGCTACCTTCACTTAAAAGTTCATTTCAGTGATAGATCTTAGGCAGACAGAAAAACATACCCGCGATGCATTAACTGTTTAAAAAGTCCTAGCTTAAAACTACCCAGGAACACACTTTTCCCATTAGATCTAAATTAATAGATAGAAACGGTTGCAGTCTAGTGGGAAAATATTCATCAAAATGCACATCATCTGCACATCACCTGCAATCTGCATTATCTACCCAATAAGCAGCAAGAACTCTCCCCGAATCCCTGCAGTCAGTCAAGTAAACAGTTAAAGGCTCTTTGTTTTCAAAAGAGAGATTGATTCATCGGATCAAATTTATTACCTAGAATCCTCATCCAAAAGTACGGTAAATTAAATTGCTATTTCTCCCTTTTTTTGTTTTTTTTTTCTCCCAGCACCTCAGTTAAATTCATTGTTAAATGTCATAAAAACTGCGACACACATTTTAGATAAAAAAAAAACAGCAATACTTCATCCCAAAGTCAGAATTTTCACATTAAAACCACTGAAAACCACAAAGTTCCGACTTTTTCTTGTTCTCTTGTAAATTAAAATCAAATGTATTTAAAAGAATTGGCACAAATAAATCATTCCCAGGCTTGTGAGTTTGTATCCCAGGTTTCAGGTCTGAAAGAATTTTTAGAGCCAGATTGTGACTAAGGTTGGATGAAGTTATTTGGATCCAACAACAGCTACTTGAACCGGTGCCTAAAACTTCAACTGAACCTTTAGGGAAGTTCAAGAAGTTTGGATAGATAGGCTGAAAAATATTTTTCATCACCGAATAGTTCTCAACTCCTTTTTCTGGCCGGAGCAGAGTAGGAAATACCGTTGTTAATCTATTTCTGGCCAAAATGAAAACAGGAAGTAACAGGCACCTTGTAAGAGAGCTTGATCTCATGAGATAGCGAGACATTTTTAAGACCCAAGAGGCTTGGAGAGGCACCAGAGCTTCTGAGTGCCCATAGGAACAGGTATTTTCAGGTCCAGCTACCACCAGTTACATTTCCTGCAAGACACATCCTATCTTTTGGCAGCACCATGTATGGTACTGTTAAAATGTTCACACTTTGCATGGTCTGGATATCGTTAAGAGATGGGAATTATTATCCCGAAAGGAGTGAGGAAACCATACACTTAC